ACACGATGCAGGAGCGGAGTTTCTGGATGCGGATGTTCAGATCCGCGATTTCCCGCCGGCTGTCGAGGAGGTGTCCCCCAAAGGAGCCGGACTGGGAGCTGCTGTCGGTGAGCTGTGGAGAGAGGGACGGGGTGCCCTGGCATCACCTGGATTACCTGGGGAAAGATCTGGGGCTCGTTCCCATCCTCTCTGGCTGTGGCTGTGCCAGGCTTACCTGGCTCCTGGGACCAGTCACATTCCTGCTCTTTGGAGAGCTGGAAGGACATTTTCCATCTCCACTGGGAGATGTCCTGGGTTCCTCCAGTGTGGAAAGCCCGGAGTAACTAACTCTGGATTTACTGTCCAGAGCTGATCACGGATAGTGCCTTGTCCCTCCCTCCATTCCCAGGGCCAGCCCATCCCTCCCATCCTTGCTGATCCAGCTGTTTCCAGGCCCATCCCTCCTGTCCTTTCCCTGCCTCTCCCAGCACAGAGCAGGGATCTGTACCTTCCTCCGGGTGAGGGCCTCGGCCTCTTCCCAGCTCCGCAGGGCCAGAGCCTCATACTGGGCCCTGACGTCCTCCACAATCCTGCCCAGGTCCGGCCGGGAGCAGCTGTCGATTCCCAGCACCACGGAAATGTCCTTGATTTCCGTCAGTAGCTCCTCCAGTTCCTGCAGAGCCACGGGACAGCAGGAAGGAGAGCACAGAGCTGGACATTCATGGCATGACTGGGGAGGGAAGGAGCCTCAAAGCCCATCCTGTCCCACCCCTGCCGTGGGCAGGGACACCTCCCGCTGTCCCAGGCTGCTCCAACCCTGTCCAGCCTGGCTTGGACACTGCCAGGGCTGGGGCAGCCACAGCTGCTCCGGGAAATCTATTCCAGGGCCTCTCCACCCTCACAGCGAAGAACTTCCCAGGATCTGGTCGTATCCCAGATTCCCAGCAGCCAGAGAGAGCTCCAGGTGGGCTGTGCTTGGCAGAGCAGCTTCCACGTGGAGAGAGGGACAATTCCCGAGCTTTCACTCTCTGGAGTTGGGGATCTGGTATTATTTGCTCCATAAAATCCAGACTCAGGTTAAGTTGGGGTTTGAGATCTTTGGATACAACCTGGTAAAATTCTGATAAAACAGTGCCTTTGGACTAGTCCAGGAGCAGGGAGAATCCTGGGGTCCTTCAAGCTGGAAAAGACCTGTAGGATCACCAGATCCCAGCTGTTCCTCAGCAGTGCCAAGGCTACCCCTGACTGTGTCCCCAAGTGCCACATCCACACATTCCTTGGGCACTTCCAGGAATGGGGACTTCATCCCTGCCCTGAGCAGCTATGCCAGGGCTGGACAACCCTTTCCAGGAAGGAATTTTCCCTAATATCCAACATAAACGTTCCCTGGCATTTCCTCTTGTCCAGTCGGTCGTTCTCCAGGAGCAGAGCTGGAACCAATGATCATGGACCAATATCCATTGGTATCCATGCTGAATGTGAGAGTTTTGGGGAAACAAAGGCTGCGTGGATCACTCCACAGCCTGGGGGGTGGAAAATGCCCTTTCCAAGCTCTGCTGTGGGATCCAGCGAGGCTGGGGCTGCTCTTTGTGATACCAGAGCCTGATTCAGGGCTCCTCGGGGAACCAGGAGCTTCCCTGGACACACCCAGGGCTGGCAGAGCTGCTCCACTCCTGTGTCCTGGGAATGTCAGTGTGGAGGGAGGCAGGAGCAGCCCTGGGACCACCGCAGGATATCTGCTCTGGGTAAGGCACAGCTGCAGAATTCCCCTCCCTGAGCCTGCAAGGGCCCTGGATCCAGGTTTGGATCCAGGCTTGCTCCAGAGCTGCTGCTCCCTTATCTCAGGCGCAGCTCCTGCTCTGCACCAGGAATTCCTTCTCCTCCTCCCTTTCCTTTGTTCCTGGTCAGGTCTCTTTGGAGCAGGAATTGTGTTCCTTGATTCCCTTCCCTGGCTGGGCTCACAAAGGGCTCTGTGGCTGAGGGATAACACAGACATGACCCAAAAACGCAGGATGATTGAGAGATTTTTATCCCACCGCTGTTTAATCCTTTCTTTGTTAAATTTGGAGCAGGTGAGAAAATTTGAGTTTATTTGAGACATCAGATCATTTGGTGAATGAAACCCCAGAACTCGTTCTTTATTAATGAGAATTAATAAATTTTTTTCTCCCGATCCATCCCAACAAGCACAGTTTACCTTGTTTTCCCTCCCCCTGGGACAATGTCTGTACCTGATGCCATCAAATCCACAGAGAAGGTGAGACAGGAGAGGCTGGGGATGAGATTTTTGTATTAATTGGGGGTTAAAAACCACAGCTTTTTGTGGAACCCGTGAGAAATCCGGTGGAGATCCTGGAGCAGGGCCTGATTTTCACAAAAACTGGGCTCAAATTGCCTTGCATGAGGAATAATCTCATTTTAGAACAGATCAGGCTCCCTGGGCAGTTGTGCTGGGAGGCAGCTCCAGCCTCTCCGTGCCTCAGTTTCCCACATGGAATGTTCATATTCCTCCATCAGGCATTGTAATTGTTTGGATTGCTGGAGTTTAGATAAATCCTGAGTGTTCCCACACCGCTGATCCTGCTGGGTGACATTTTCCAGGCCTGACTCAGTGTTCTGCTGGAGCCCCTTCCCCCCTGGCTGCAATCATTCCTGACTGGGGACCCCTCGTTTTCCTGGGGAAGGAGGAGGCTGGACTGGGTTTCAGAGCATCCTGGATTTTGGGTTCTTCCTGGAGTCGGAACACTTGGCTGCCTTGGGCAGAGGTCTGGGGCAAACCCCATCTGTGGGGGCAGGAGCTGAGCCCCACCAGCCAGTTTGGGATGAGGTTGGAATTCTGAGCTGTTCTGGGGGGACCCCAGGCCCCCACAGAGGCTCTGGGGCAGAAGGAATGTTCTGGCCCCATCCCAAACTGCCCTTTGGGATCAGCACCTCAGGTCCTGAGCAATGGAATGGCTGTGACACCCTGGCCAAGCTCCCACGTGGGTGGAAATCCAGGATCTGTCCCCAAAATGCCGAGTTTCCCACAGCGTCCCAGCCCTCTCCAGCTGTGTTCCCACCTGTTCGTAGATGGTTTTCTTCAGCTCCAGCAGCTCCTGGAGCCCTTTGAGCTTCACCTCCAGCTCCGTGCGGTGCAAGGTGCTCACATCCAGATCCTGCACGGATGGAAAGGGATCCATCAGTCCATAACTGGATTTACAGCGAGTCATTCCCGCTGCTCCCCATCCCCAGGGAGTGCCCTGTGGGCTCCATCCCTGGCAGTGTCCCAGGACACGTTGGACAGGGCTTGGAGCACCCTGGACAGGGAAGGTGTCTGCCCATGGAGGGGTGGAATGGGATGAGCTTCATCCAATCCATCCTGGGATTTATTAACAGGGATGTTTGGAACTGCTCTCCAGCAAAGGTTCTCAAAGGAGAGGCTCCTTTGAGAACCTTTTCCCTTTGTTTTGTGGGACTTGTTGGTGGAAGGATCTGTTGGGCCAGGCAGGGCTGGGCCATCCCCTCCCAGCTTTTGTTCCCCACAAAAGGCTCCATTCATCAAAAACTTGGGAGCCATCCATGGAAGTGTCCAGGAATGCCTTTCCTGGGGAGTGTGCCAGGGAAAACATGGAATTAGCCAGGATGGGTACTTGTGGGGAACGTTCCCTCTCTCCAACACCCTTATCCTACTCCCAGATTGGGAGTTTTGATATAAAATCCCAATTCCAGCTGATTCCCACTGGCTCCTGCCGGAGTGGGAGCTTTGCTGGGGTTTGCCCAGGGCGTGGCCCCTCCGCAGGGAACAAAGCAAATCCTTTATCAGTTCCAGCCTTTCTCAACCCTAATGGCATCCGGAGGGAACACAGGGAGGAGGAGGCAGCTGGGGAAGGGTTTGGACCTCTTAGGCCAGGGAATTCCCAGGGTGCAGGGATGGGGATGCTCCAATCCCCAGGTGCTGCCAGGGGATTTTCAGGAGCCACTCCAGACTCACTCTCCTGTGGGACTGGGACTCATCCCCTCCCTGTCCTCCTCGAGACCTTGTTATCCCAAACCAGCTGAGCCTGGATCACCTCCAGGCCCTTCCCTGACTGTGCTCTAGCCAGCCCATCCAGTGGGAAACTTCCCTTCCCTTCCTGCTGACCTTTTTGAGCTCCATGAAGGTGAATTCCATCCCGCTGCAGAGGCGAATTTCATCTTCGTACCTGCAGAGCACCCAAAGTATGGGATCAACCCCAGGGCAACTCAGGGACACTCAAGAGTTGTCTTGAGACCCACAAAATATCCAAACTTTCTGCTTTTCCTGCTTGTCCCCGCTCCTTGAGGCATCATGGGCAGGAGTGAGAAGAAGCTGCCACATTCCAGCTGCCCTGGAACACCAGGAGCACTTTTGGGATTAAGAATGCCAGAGCAGAGAAGGGAGCTTTAATTGGGATTTCATCTGGGGGCTGGGGAGCCTCAGGTTCTTCACAGAGGGACAGGGGATGGGGGTGGGGATCGTGCTCTGCCCAAACTCCTCAATTTCACCCCAAACCTTTTCCGTTCTGCTCACGTTTCCTCGAAATTTCACTTCCAGGGTTGGAGTCTTCCCAAGGGAGAAAACTCGGCCTTGTGGAAATTCTGAGAATTCTGGACTGGTGTCATAACTCAGCCCAGGTGATTTGTGAAGGCACACAGGCAAAGGAATTAATGGAAAACTGCTCATGGAGTGGAAGGAAACCAAACCAGAATGGCGTGGAGTCCTGAGTGTCCCTGTGAAGAACGAGCCCTGCAGGTGTTTAAATCCAGGGTGGGATAGGACAGGGCCAGGGAGCAAAGCCTCAGTCCAGGGGCAAATGGATATGAGCAGGAATTGGGGAATACTCCAACCCTTGTTGGCTCCTGGGACAGGGGTGTGGTGATCCCAAATCCCAGGGACCTGACCAGGAAAGCCACAGGGTCCCTTTTGGGCCTGGCAGTGCTTGGTCAGAGCAGAACGATGGGATGGGAAAGGGCCCCCAGCAGCTGGACACGTGTGGGAGCGTTGGGAGTGATGGATCAGAGCAGGCTGAGCTCTCCGGGCGGTCCTGGCTCCCCTGCTCTTCCCTGAAACCTCAGGCTCCTCTTAGCCTAAGGGGCACATGACATTCCATAGAATCAGGGAATCATTAAGGTTGGAAAAGCCCTTGGAGAGCATCGAGCCCAACCGTTCCCCCAGCACGGCCAGGGCCACCCCTGAGCATGTCCCCAGGTGCCACAGCCACATGGCTTTGGTGGCTCCACCCATGCCCTGAGCAGCTGTGCCAGTGCCTGGACACAATTCCAGTGAGGAATTTTCCCCAATATTCAGCTAAACCTCCCCTGGCAGACCTTGAGCTCATTTCCCTTGTCCTGTTGTTCCCTGGAGCAGAGCCTGACACCCCCTGGCTGTCCCCTCCTGTCAGGAGTTGTGCAGAGCCACAAGGTCCCCCTGAGCCTGCTTTTCTCCAGGCTGAGCCCCTTCCCAGCTCCCTCAGGAGTTCTCCAGACCCTTCCCTGGTGCTCCAGCCCTTTTCCAGCTCCATTCCCATCCCTGGTCACTCCCCAGCCCCTCAGGGTCTTTCTTGGTGGAAGGGGCCCCAAAGTGACCCCATTTCCAGACTGTGAACTCAGGCCTTCAGTGCTGCTTGGACACGTCACCAAAGGGACCTAAGGGAAGCTGAGACCTTTGGGAACGAGGTGAAATGGGATCTCCCAGAGACTGAGGACAGGAACATCAGGAATGTGGCCGTGTGCTGCTGTTGGGGTCCAGTGCATCGTCACAGTGTTCTCGGGAGCCCAGAAGGTTTTGGGGAGCCTTCCCTGCCGTGTACAAAGTGTGGAAATGGGGAGTTGTGCCTGGTGAAGGGGAGCAGATGTTGGGAAATGAGGGAAGCCGTGCTCAGGAGCTGACTTGGAAATATCCAGAGCAGCTCCCTGGAGCTGCAGCTCCCTCCCCGAGGGCACCATGAGGGCAGGGGGTGTGTGGCAGTCACAGCTTTGGGCACTCCTGGGGTTCCTCCTGAGTCCCCCTCAGTGCTGAGCTCGCCCTCTCCTTCCCTGCTTTTCCAAGGCCGGGCAGCAGCGGCTGATGGGATTTACCTGTCTGGTCTGTGCTCCACACCTGGAATGTCAGCCCAGCTGGAATGCTGTCAGCCCTGCTGCACGGGAGGGACCAAGCTTAGTGCCTGTCTGCAGCCCCTCTTCCTCCTCCTCGCACTCGGCTCGGCCCAGTGTGTCCCAGTCTGTCCCAGTCTGTCCCCAGACTGTCCCAGTGTGTCCCAGTGTGCCCCAGTGTGCCCCAGCCTGTCTCCAGTCTGTCCCCAGTCTGTCCCCAGTCTGTCCCAGTCTGTCCCCAGTCTATCCCAGTGTGCCCCAGTCTGTCCCCAGTCTATCCCAGTCTGTCCCCAGTCTGTCCCAGTCTGTCCCAGTCTGTCCCCAGTCTGTCCCAGTCTGTCCCCAGTCTGTCCCAGTCTGTCCCCAGTCTGTCCCCAGTCTGTCCCCAGTCTATCCCAGTCTGCCCCCAGTCTATCCCAGTCCGTCCCAGTCTCCCCGCCCTGGGCGCTGGCAGGGCAGAGCTCCGCTCCGGCGGGGCAGAGCTGGCCCAGCTGGCCCAACGCGCTCCTGCCACGCTCCCAGGACTGTGACTCAGCCCGGGCTGGAGCTGGAGCATTCCACAGGCACATCCCAGCATTTATCTCCCGGGAGATAATCCCGGGGCACTGCAGGAGGGCCAATCCAGCCCTTCCTGCACTTAGCACACTTTAGACAGCGTCTGCTCGCCCCGGGCTCCTTCCATGGAGCAACATCTGGGAACCAGGTCTGAGGCAGGCTGAGCTCCCTCCTGCATGTGCCTGTCCCTCTCCTTCCCTCCCTTTGGAATAGCTGGTCCACGGCAGAATCATTTGAGGAGAAGGGGGCAGTGTCCCACTGAGTCCCATCCAGGTGGGTTTGGGAAGCAGCCCCTGACTCGGGAGGAAGGCAGGACTCCCCCAGGCACACTTCCCATCCTGGAGGACTTGGGGTGTTCCCATGCCCATGGGGGCTTCCATCCAGAATGCCACAGCCTGGCTGAGGGCACCACTCCAGTGGGAAATCCAACTGGTTCTTCTTTTTCCTCCCCCAGAATTCCCTGGGGAAAAGAAACCTCCCGGATTTGCCTGGTTTGTACAGAGATTTGCCCCAGAAATGTCCCTGGGCTGCGCTGGGGCTGGATGGGACCTGGGAATTCTCTCCCTGTGAATCAGTTTTGAGGGATAAAGCATCCCAATTGTGTCCTATCCCATTGTCCAAGTCACTGGAAAAGTCACAAGAAATCCAGTGGGGAGAACCCTTGGGCAGCACCTTCACCCCTGAGATCAGCTGGAAAGCCCCGGAGTGTCGGGAGCTGGGGATTCCTGCAGCAGTTCCCGAGTGCAGATCTGAGCACAGACCATGGCTGCCCCATCCCTGGAAGTGTCCAAGGGCTGGGGACACCCTGGGAGAGTGGCAGGGTCCTTTCCCACCCAAACCAGTCTGGGATTCTGCTTCCTCGGGGAGTGCAGGGAAGGCCAGGTGCTCCAGAGAGGGATGGCAGGGCCTGACCTTTGCATTATCCAAATAAACAGCAGGCAGGCACCTCCCATGAGGAATTCAGGACTTTTGGGCACCTGGGTGTCATTTGAAGGACTCCCAGGAAGATGATTTCAGTGTAAGGTGAAGAATCAAACTCCTGGTTCGTATTCCTGTCAAATTCCTCACATTCCTTGTCCTTGGCACTGCTGAAGCCCCTGGAATGCTGGGCTTGGGGCTCCTCACAAGACCCTGAGGGGCTGGAGCGAGTCCAGAGGTGGGAATAGAGCTGGGGAAGGGCTGGAGCACCAGGGGAGGGTCTGGAGAACTCCTGAGGGACCTGGGGGGCTCAGTCTGGAGAAGAGGAGGCTCAGGGGGACCTTGTGGCTCTGCACAACTCCCGACAGGAGGGGACAGCCAGGTGGGATTCAGGATCCACTCTCAGGGAACAAGGGAAAAAAAGCCTCAAGTTCTATCAGAGGAGGTTTAAGTCGGATATTTGGAAAAATTTCCATGGAAACGGTTGTCCAGCCCTGGCACAGGCTGCCCAGGGACTCCCCACCCCTGGAAGTGTCCAAAAACTGTGTGGATGTGGCACCTGGGGACTTGGGGTCAGCAGTGACCACAGTGGTAGGGGGTTGATGGATGGATCTGATGCTCTCCAAGGGCTTTTCCAAGCTGAATGATTCCCTGATCCCAACCTGCTGTTTTCTGATTAAGGCATTTCACTGCTAGGTCTCCGTTAGAAGGAGCTGTCAGCCCTTCCCTAATTTGCAGCCACCTTGAGCAGGGCTTATGGAGCTGGAGAATCCTTGGACAGAACTCCATGGAGGGGGCACGGATGATTTGTGCCTCACCTCAGGAGTGGGTTTGGATCCCAGCAGGGATTTCTGCTCCTCCCGAGTCCCTTGGCACCATTTTGGGTTGGACAGTCTCTGCACAGCCCAAATCCCCAGGGGAGCCTGCAGAGCTCCAGGAAGGTGCTGGGTGTCAGTGGGAGGGAAAGGAGCTCATTTGGGATTCTCCTGTGGGATGCAAATGAGCACCATAATGAGAGAGGCATTGTCTGCTCCCCTGTGACCGGGCATGGCCCAGCTGCTCTCCCTTATCTGCACATCTCCAGAGATAAGAGGAACTCCCTGGAGATAAGAGGCAGCTGCACCTCCCCCGACCTTTGGCTGCCTCCCTGTTCTTGGTCAGGACCATTTGGGGCACAATTTTGACCTTTTGGTCAAAGCAGAGTTTGGCAGAAATGCTTTGGGTGAAGCGGGAAAGGAAGAGATCCCACAGTCATGGAATAGAATATTCCTTCTTTACGAAGGAATTCCTCCCTGTGAGGGTGGGGAGGGCCTGGAATGGATTTCCCTGGATCCCTGGAAGTGTCCAAGGTTGGAAGGGCTTTGAGTGGAAGGTGTTCCTGCCCATGGCAAGGGTGGCACTGGATGATTCTAAAGGTCACTCCTAACCCATTGTGTGATGATGAATATCCTGAGCTGGAAGACACCCACAGGGATCATCAAATCAAACTCCTGGCCTTGCCCATGCAGCCAGGAGCGTTGTTTTTTGTACTGAGCAGCCTGGTCCAGAAATCATTTTGGGGACAAAGTTCCGGCTTGTGCTAATTTTGTGGAGAATAAGCATTCCCTGTTTTCATGGCTGTCACTCCAGCAATGCCATTCCCGGAGTTGTTCTCTGGCAGAGGCTCCTCTCAGACCCTGCTCTCCTTGGAACTGCATTGTTCCAGCTTTCCTTTCACCTCTCATTAAGGAAGATGTTGTGATCCTAAATTCCATACTTCTGGGCACACCAAACTAGGAATATTTTCCTGGGCATCTCAGGCTAGCTGAGCTAAATCAATCCCATGCTGTTCCCTGTGCCCCAGCTGGATCTCCCTGGATATGGATAGACATGGACAAGGGCACCTACTTGCTCCGGAAGGTGTCCATGGTGCTCAGCACCTTCGTCAGCTCTGACTCCAGGTTTTCCTGCTCGTAGTTGAGCGCCTTCATCTCCTGGTTCATTTTGCTCACATACTGCTCATAGATGGCCTTGATGTCCGAGTCAGAGTGGGAATTGTCCTGGTCCTTCAGGAAGTTCCACCTGGTTGTCAGGATCTTGTTCTGCTGCTCCAAGCTCTGGACCTATGGGAGAGGTTTCAGAGGTCTCAGTGACACTGAGGGCCACAATCAAAGCATGGCAGGGCAGGAGATTTTGGAGACCTTCAGAAGACCTGCCAGAATCAGCAGATTTCCAAGGAAGAATGAGAAATCCCTTCAAAATTAGGCCTGAGGATGGAGGGTTATGGAATCATGAATGGTTTGGGTTGGAAGGGACCTTAAAGATCACCCAGCTCCATCCCCTGGCATAGGCAGGGACACCTCCCTCTTCTAGGGGACTTTTAGGGGTTTTATACATTACCCACCAATTAATTCCTCAATAGAACATGGTGACATCAAAACAGGCACAGTGACATTGGAATAAACATAGTGACATCAAAATAACCAATGACATCAAAATAACCATGTTCACATTGGGCTAAACACAGCAACATTGGGACAGAGGAGTCACTGACAACAGGAATGGTCAGTTCTGTCCCTTTTGTGTGTGCCCATGGACTACTGGAAACACCTCCAGCATCACCAGATCCAGGTGTTGATGAACCCAAGGCTGCGGATCCACCCCAGGTCACACAGGGATGTCCAGGGTCAGGGAAGGGCAGATTTCCTACCCCGGAGAGCACAAAGAGAGGGAACCTGCTGGGCTGCCAGGAATTACAGCATGGAGAGGTTCAGGGAATGAATCAGGTTTATTGCAGAGCAGCTCAGACAAAGCTCTGGAGAACATCCCAGGTAATTACAGACTCCAGGTGAGCTCCCCGTGCTGGCTCTGAGAGGACAACGCTGCCCTTCCATCTCCCGCCTTTGAGGAACCTGCTCCTCTTTCCCAATATTCCCAATCTCACCAGTAACACTCCAAGTTTAACAGTTCTCATCTTCAAAGCTCTTGGCCAACTCCAATTAATTGGCTAATTGCTACCTCTGGGAGCAACCCCAGTCACGTTTTGGCTGGAGATGCCGGAGTTGCCTCCAAGTTTCCCGTGTTGCATTCCGGGATGACTCAGGGCTGATGCCATGCCCGGAGCACTGGGGGCAGGAGCCATCAGACCTCCAGGCTTGGCCTGGCGTCCAAAGAAGAGGCAGAATTCCAGCTGCTGACCCAGATGTGGCACCATCTTTCTCCAAATCCTTCTTTTTGGGACAGAAAGAGCAGCCAAGCAAAGCAGAACCATTCCAGTGCTTGGGAGTTCCCAGCAGAAGGGATGGGCCGGTTGGGATGTTCCAGGTCTCACTCTTAGAGACCTCATCCTTCCCTCCTGGGATGAGAAGGGATTGTGTTGGCTATTGTTCCATGTCCATCTTTAATTAATTCCTAACCTCCTTCCTAATCCTCAGCTGCTCCTTTTATCCCTCAATTCCTGTTCGCAAACCATCCACGGACTCAGCTGGTTCCATCTTGGCTTCCAACATCTGTTTGGAACTGGATAATCTTAAAGGTCCCTCCTGACCCAAACCATTCCATGATTCTGTGACTCCTGCGATGTCCCCTTCAGTGGAAATCCCCCCTTGCAGAGCCTTTCAGCAGGAGCTTTGCAGAGGGATCACCCAGATTTGGCCTCATTCCCTGGAGTTTCATGCCTGAACACACAAGTGGCCAAAGTTTGGTCCTTGCAGACCCTCCCATCTGGGATGCTTGGGATAATGCCAGGGCTTCAAAAAGGGTCTCCAGGGCTTGGCTTTTCCCTGTCTTCTTTTATATCTGTCTGGAAAATAAAAACCAGCAGATCTGTAACAGCTGGAAAACCACCAGCACCAAACTCCTGCAGCTTTGTGGTCAATTATCCCTGGAATCACCTGCTGGGGACTGAGAACACCTGAATCCCTGATTATAAAGCCAGGTTCTCTTTGACAAGGAAGTCTCATTCCCTCCCTCTGGAATGAGGGCCTGGGGCAGGTGCCTGAAGTTGCCACTTGATGCAGCTCTTGAAGCCTTCAAAGGAGCTCAGGAGCTTCAGTCAGAGACGTTGGCCAGGGGGTGTTTGTGCCCCTGAACCTCTGGCCCAGGATCCACACGGATCAGGAGGTTGCTGGGAAACCTGGAACTCTCAATTCTTCCCTCCACGGTGTCAGGGAACAGGCCTGGCTCGGGCACATGGGGTTTTGTCCCTTTCCCCTACTCCCATCCCTGCTCTGAGGGCCCAGAAAACCCCAACCTCTCTGCCTAGACAGTCCAAATTCCAGCCGCTGCTATGTGGGTGTTTCCCACACCAAGTATTCTCCAAATTCCCAATGCCACAATCTTGGAAAGGCTCACAGGAGGAGGCTGTGCCCATCCATGAGAGCCAGGTCTGGGCCCTGTTGACGCTGCCAGGTGTGACTGGTCACAACCATTCCCCTTGGAGAGATCCACTGGAGATGTTCCCACGGCCTTCTCCTTCCCAGTGTGAATCCTGGTCCTTGGAGAGTTGAAATGAATCAATCCCGGGCTGCTGGAGGCTGGCAGGGAGAGCTGCATGAAGCAATCCCAGAGATTACATCTGTTTACGGAGCAGGGCTCTGCAGGAACCTGCCTGCTCTGGGAGTTGTTTTCCTTGGAGAAACTTCTGCTTCTCCCGGCTCCGCAGAGATGAAAGCAACGCTTTCTTGGCCTCTCTCCTCAGAAGCTTGGAGGCAGTGGCTGGGGGGTCCCCCGGCCCCCCACACTGCCCAGATGGAGGTGGGGATGAGTTTCCAGGGATGAGTTTCCAGGGATGAGTTTCCAGCTCTCTTTAGCAGCCAGAATTGGAGCTGCCGCCAAAAATGGCGTCACTGCCCGTGGCTGTTTGGCCACTCTGGGAGCCAAGACCCCCAGTCCATGGTGCCCCCTGCCCATGGTGCCCCCAGTCCATGGTGCCCCCAGAACTTTGCCGGGGCTGCTCTGGGGTCCCCCGGGAGCTGCCCGAGGTGACAGGCACAGCCCCTGGCCGTGCCTCCCCCAGGGATGCTACCTAACCCTCGTCAGTCAGGGAGCTCAGAGGGAATAACTAATTGGGTTAACTACTAATTAGCCGGCTGTGCCAGCCTCACCGGGGGTGGCTGCAGACCCGGCGGTTCCCCAGAGCCCCTCCCCAGCCAGGTGCTGTCCCTACCTTCTCGATCAGGGTCACGAACTGGTTGTTGAGCACTTTGATGTCCTCCTTCTCCTGCTGCCGCACGGCCTGGAACTCGGTGTCGATGTCCAGGCGCACGGCGGGCGGCAGCCGCCCCGGCACGGCGAACGGCGAGTAGGGCGAGCGGCGCAGGCTGCCCGGGGAGCCGCGCCCGTCGCTGGCCACCGAGCCGTGCCCGTCGCTGGCCACCGAGCCGTGCCCGTCGCTGGCCACCGAGCCGTGCCCGTCGCTGGCCACCGAGCCGTGCCCGTCGCTGGCCCCGCCGTCGGGGCTGCGGCGCTCCGGGCACGGGCTCCCGGCGGCCCCGCCGCGGCTCATCCTCCCCGACGCCTCCCCGGAGCACAGGGAGCCGCTGCAGAAGGCAGAGCTGGGGTTGGTCATGCCCGGGCTGGGCTCCGGGGGAGGGAGAGGCACCGGGAGAGAAAGGTGAAGGTTTGTGGCTCCGCCGCCTCCGAGAGAGGAGCAGCAGCGCAGCCGGGCCGGTGCGATTCCGTCTCCTGGGCTTGTGGGCTGGTAATGAATTCCAAGCACCTGTTCTGCGATGTTCATTAAACGGAGGAGGGTGGAACCCTTGATGGAAATCCAGATCAACCTGTTGGCGCTTTTTTTTTTTTTTTTTTTTTTTTTTTTTTTTTTTTTTTTTTTTTTTTAATTCTTATTCCCTCCTCTGTCTGTTCCCTCCTTTCTTCAGGAGCTTGTTTGTGTGAGGAGGACTCAGGCTCTTGCAGCAAAAACAAACCCTCCCAGGTAATTCCGGCCCCCAGCAGCTGCCTCCCTCATCCTTAAAAGGTGAGGAAAGGAATTGGAGGTGCTAGGCTTGGGAAGGACTGCTCCAGGCACAGCTCTGCACAAGGACTTGGCACACGGAGCCAGCATCAGCCACTGGCTGCTTTCCAGCCCAAATTTTCAGGAAGGAACAGTAATTTTTTTTTTTTTTTTTTAATACAGGAGGGTTTAAAACCATAAAGAGTCTGAATTGACTAAAGAAGGAGTTGGGAAATGCATCCCAAGCTTGGTATGGCTGGAGCTGCTCCTACTGTGTCACCACATGGACACAGCATGGATGGGTCTGGTGCTCGGGTGCTTTAGAGAGGATAGGTCTGGTTTTAGCAATGTTAGGTCTAGTTTATGGATAATGGGTCTGGGTTCAGGCAGGATAAATCTGTTTTTAGAAATGGTGGGTCTGACTTTTGGGAAGATAGATCTGGTTTAGGGAGCATAAACCTGGTTTTGACTCCCCTGGGAGTGGGATCCAAGAGTGCTGAGGTTATTCATTCATCTGCTCTGGCAGCACCAGAGACCCTCAAAACCTTTGCACCCGAGGTGGATCTCAGGTGCCCAAGTCCATCTTTGACAGCCCCATTCCCATTCCCCAAAAGCCCTATGAAAGCTGGAGATACAAAACCCCTCTGAAATTCAATGAATTCTGGTGTCCCACCCTTAAATCCCTGTTTGGTACAAACTCACCCTGGATGTGGTTTCTGCTTTGGCTCCGTTTCTCCTGTGAAGCTTGGGAAAGAAGAACTCCCATCTGTGCCTTGCTTTGTGGCATCCTTGGGAAGGGGGATGGTCTTCTCTGGCCATCCCAATTTCCATTTTGTGGGAAAGCTGCTGCTTTGCTGCTCTGGTTCTGCTCCACACTGAGTTTCCCTTCCAAGGGAGGTGAGGGAAGGTGAGGTTGGATCTGTGCTCTGGCAAGAAATGTCTGCTGAGGAGCAGCTGTAGTTTGGGAAGGCCTTCCCAGGGAAGGGGACCTGTTCCAGTGGGTTTGACCTTTCCTTCAGGTGGAATTGCAATATATTGCCAGGAACGGGGGGTTTTCCCCTGTCCACCTTCCCAAAACATCCTTTCCAGGAAAAATGCATTTGAACACCAGGTCACTCACTCAGTGGGTCCTTGGCAGGACTTCTCACGGCAATCCCGATGGTTTATTTTAATGATTAAGCCCAAATTCCTGTCTGGGAGCAGCCATAGCTCGTGGCTCCTGCTCTGTGGGTGACATTTTCCTTTCCTGGTGGGCTTCTCTGATGGCTCTGCAGGCCAGGATGGGATCCCAGTGGGCACCAGATCAGGGGTTACCCTTGGCCTTGGGGCACGCTGAGGGTACTCGGGACAGCCCTGGGAAAGCTCAGTCCCTCTGAGGGAAGCAGGTGCAGGTGGAATGAGGGCACTGCGGTGCAGTAGAGGCTGGGAGCAGTGCCTGCTCTGATCCTGGTGGGCTCTTCCATGATCCCAGGTCATCCCACCTGTCTGAGCAATCCCTGCTCCTTTCTTCTCCAAGGATCAGTTCTTTCTCTCATCCTTTTTCTTCCATGAAATGAAGTTTCCAAACCTAGGTCTAGCCCATGGGAACAACGAGTTTGGCTTAAAGAGCATCTCCCAGTGCACAGTGAGCCAGGAAGCCTCTCCAGGTGATGGGATCCAAATGGATTTTGAAGCCTTTTGATTCCCAGTTCCTGCACAGCATTGTGTCTTGTGTCCCACATCTTCCCCATCTCTGGAAGTGTTCAATGATAGGGCTTGGAACAACACAAACTAGTGGAAGAGGTGGAATGGGATGAGTTTTGAGGTCTCTTCCTACCCAAACTGTTCCATAATTCCATGATTAGATGCTGGAGTTGGGCCCAAAATCCCTCTGCCTCAGAAAGGAGCAGAAGGACGATGTTTCAGGATGAAAACTGCCTTTAATTCTTGGGACAAGCAGTGTGGAACCCTATTTTTCACTGGGATCACTGCAGCCACTCTGCTTTGAGATAGGTGAGGGTTTTCCAAGTGCTGTGTCCTTCCAGCAGGATGGGTTTGACTTGCAGGACGCATGGGATGTGTTGGAAGAGGATTTAGCCTCTCCTTTCAGGGCTGAAGCTCCTGTTGGCCCACCTGGTGAGTTGAGGGCCCAGGGGAGTTCTGTGGAGGGGGGGCACTATGGGGGACCCTGGTTTCAGTGCCCGTGGTGCTGCTCCTGGGCATTTTTGGTGCTTGTAGGGGAGGATCCTGTGGCTTCTCCCTCCTGGAGAAAGGAGGACCCCTTCCCAGCTTAGCATCCGCCCCCCTCGTTTGCTGCCCCTCGTTTGCTGCCCCTCGTTTGCTGCCCCTCGTTTGCTGCCCCTCGTTGCTGCTCCTGCTGCCCTCCCAGCCCCGGGAGAGGCTGAGCTGACTCAGGCAGGTCCTGCTCTTCCTGATGTTCTCGGTGCTCCTCCTTGGCCAGGTATTTGGTTCAGTTTGGGATGGGCTGGTCCTCAAAATAGGGCTTTTCAGCCTTCCTGGCTGACAGAAATCCTGCTGGAAAGGGACAGGGACAAAGGAAGGTGGGGATAAGGTGGAGAAAGGGATGAAGGGTCCGGCCCCATCCAGCTGCCCTGCTGTGTGCCATCGGGAGTGCACACCTCCCTGTGTGCTCACAGCCTGCGTTGAATCCTGCTGGGGTTGGCATGCGGGGTGATCCAGGATCTCCCACTCCGGGTGTGTCACCGTGTGTGCTTCTTTGGGGGCTGAGGCTGGGAGATTTAAACCATCACAGGGAGCCTTGAAGATGCTTCAACCCCCTTGGGCAAACCTGGGAAATCTGTAACCCTTCCCTGGACACTGGGGGTAACTTCCAGCACCTGGAACTCCCCGGGTTATTGGCTCAGTATGTTCAGGCAGAGTGGAACCATTTCTTTATCAAGGCTCCCCAAGTAATTGGTGTTTATTAATGAGGAATAAACTGGGAATCGGCCCCAAGGGATCTGAGTTGGAGGTAGAGCAGAAGTGACGGAGCTCTGGAGGGAATGAGAGGGTGAGCAGGAGCCAGGTAAGGGAGCTGCCCCTGGAACGGGAGCTGCCCCTGGAACGGGAATTGTCCCTGGAATGGGAGCTGTGCTGGGCTGGTCACGCACAGCTGGGAATGGCCAGTGCTGTGGGACGGGGAATGGCCAGTGCTGTGGGACGGGGAATGGCCAGTGCTGTGGGACGGGGAATGGCCAGTGCTGTGGGACAGGGAATGGCCACACTGTGGGACAGGGAATGGGCAGTGCTGTGGGACGGGGAATGGCCACACTGTGGGACGGGGAATGGCCACGCTGTGGGACAGGGAATGGCCAAACTGTGGGACAGGGAATGGCCAGTGCTGTGGGACGGGGAATGGCCAGTGCTGTGGGACGGGGAATGGCCAGTGCTGTGGGACGGGGAATGGCCAGTGCTGTGGGAC